GCTGGCAGCTTCTCCTTCTTGTTCTCTCTCCACACATCATTAACTTGTTGCACACTCTTTACTTCTTCTTAACCATAAAGGTTAACTGTAATGTTCTCTCTCTCATTCATAACCCAGAGGGTAACTATGGCTTTAACTCACTGTTTCACTTTTCTTTTCAATACACCATGGCTAAACATTACTGTAATATCCTTCTCCTCCATCCTCAAGTAATCAACACAAGACAAATATACATACAAAACAATTAGTGCAAAACAATAAACTGAGTCCTGGTAAATTTTCTTAACGTGATATTATCAATCACACTAGTGCTGCATGCATAATTTACACACAGAGAGTCCTCAGAAGGAATCCTAAAAACAATCCGTGATCCTGTAGTGTCTTCAATAGTATAGTGCAAAAAGTGATATAAAGTATAATCCACCAAATTTATATATATACACTCTGGGCTCCTTCACCAGTTGTGCTCTCATTTGATGTATATGACCAAACCGTTAAGTGAATTGAACAGATGGATAAATTCCTGTATCCCAGATGGATGGATGGATAAATGGAGTTTTTCTTTTTTTTCCAGCAGGGGATCTCGCCGTTATCAAGAGATCCTTTCCTAAATACGGGTGGATGGTTGGAGTTATCCCTTTTCCCACTAGGGGGTCTCTTAGCTCCTTTCAGACTTTCTCCTCCATAAATAAGTGTTCCTTGTAATTAAAAAGAAAATATAGTGCCTTATCCTCTTTTTTAAAAGATGTAATAAATAAATATAGTGCACTCACATGTTAAATAAATAAAATAAATGTTTTTGGTACAAATTTGCTTGGTCTTTAGTATGTTTTACACACTCCCATATACTTGCTGTGTGGTTTGCCTGAAAGCATCATGACGTCAGAGCCCCTCCCCTACCCGTTACGCCACAAGGTCACATGGTTTCATCAGGGGGAATTGATTAGCTGGCATGGCGCACATTGACTTATATAGGAACTATGAGCGCCATTTTTTTAAAGTCCACATGGCGGCGGCCATTTTTTTTGGGTCCAATTTAACTAACTGCGAACGGAGATGGAGCTGTTTCCATGCAGGGTGTCAGATCCACCTACTTCTTTTTGCACTATACTAATAAAGACACTACAGGATCACGGATTGTTTTGAGGATTTTTTTGAGGATTCCTTCTCTGTATGTAAATTATGCATGCAGCACTAGCGTGATTCATAATATCACATTAAGAAAATTTACCAGGACTCAGTTTATTGTTTTTCACTAATTGTTTTGTATATATATTAATAGTGGAGCGTGACACAAAGTGTTTTTTTAATTTAATATAGACACATTGGTATGGGTATGTGTGTAGTGTAGGCGACCCACTTATTCAATTTATATATTTATTTAACTAATTAATTCAGTCACTGAATCATTTATATTTATAATTTATTTTACCTACTTAATTAAAATTATTAGTAAAATTAAAATACACCCTAGTAGCTCATAAGAATCACATTTATAAATCAACACAAGATAACTTCTTCAAACAATAATTAAGTTTACTGAATAGACTTGGAAATACAGTTGAAGTAGTACATTTCACAGAATAGTTCCTTCACATAAATGACTGTACTATACATTACATTTGCTGTGCAGTGATTTGGCTGTGTATGATTTGGCTGTACTGTTTCCCTAGTGGAGCTGCTCATACAGTACCTGAAAATAGGAAAGTCCATTCATACAAAGATCATTCACATGGTTGCCCAAATTCAGGTTCCATTTAGGGAGAAAGCTGCTGAACGAATATTTTACATTTAGGCTACCTTTATACTGATCCACCGCAAAAACGCCTCAAAAACATATAGGCATTTTTACCACATTTTTGACTAATTTTTACCACGTTTTTCACACGTTTTTCAAAGGACATGTAACTTAAAACTGCACCAAAAACGCTTCTCAGAGGCGTTTTTCAGGCGTTTTCCATTGATTTTTTTGGGGTGTTCTTTTAACTCCCCAAACATGCCCCAAAGATGCTGCAAGCAAGAGTTTTTACACCGCACCGCAAGTGCAACACCTCAGTGTGAAAACATACATAGATATACATTCACATACACAAGGAAGCAGTTTTCTTGAGCTTTTCAGGTGCTTTTTTTAACGCAAAAACGCTTGAAAAACTCCTCAAATTGAAATCAGCCTTACAACTTCCATACTGGACTGCACCACAAGGCTGGCTTCCCCTACACATATAGCCTCTCAAAAAGGGCCATGACGCACACATGCAGTGGAAGAAATGTCACACAATTACATTTACCCTTTTTGCATCAGCCAGAAATGTAAAGAACTATAACACAGTAGCAGGCATAAAATAATATAACCTAGACTCCTGCCTGCACTGCAAATTGAAAGAATGCAGCTTTACCATATTCTACCCTTCTTTTTTGTAATACTGTATATAAATACATGAAAACAAAACGTCTGTCTCTAAAATCCCTATGCATTTACCTAATAAGGTGTGAACTCCAACCAACACCTATTTTTATACATTTGCACTTTAAATATAAATGGCTCTTATTGCAGTCAGTCCTATGTCTGGCTGCTGCTTCAAAGTTTAAAATCTTTACTTTCATAGAGCACAGAATTGTGAGCGCTGAATCCTGACTCTGAATCTTATCGTCCCGCTGAGATCACTGATTGGTAGTAATCACTCACTGTGTTCGTTCAGGAAAGGAAGGGGCCTGTAAACATAACATGTTTAGCGCCCCCTCGCCCCTTCCCCCACACGATTTTCCATTCTAAAATGATCCCTCTGTGTGCCCACAGCAGCTAACAGCTGCCAGGAGGGAGTTTAGAAGAAGCTGGCAGTGCTGCAAAGAAGGAGAGGGTAATAGAGGGTAATCAGAGCTGTGGGGAAGGGGGAGGCATCAAATCATCGATAGATGGGGTGATTGGTGCAAAATTACTGGAACTGATCCCCCTGTGGCTCCCCCTGCAGCAGCTGAAAGTTAGCAGGCATGAGAGGAGGAGAAATTGGCTGTGCTGCAGGGGGAGCCACAGGGGAATCCATTCCAGTAATTGCCCTGCCTGTCAGTTGTCCACGATCCCCTTTTTCCTGCCTGTCAGCTGCCTGGGCTCCCTGTTCAACTGATGAGCCTGAGCCCTGTGCAGTGGGGTCGGTGCTACCCCCTTATTGGCGGCCCTGCACACACTCAAGGGGAAACTCATTTTTAGGGGAGCCAGATACAATTTACATATGGTAAATTATATTAACTGGGGAGTATCAAGTCAACACACTGTACAAAAGCAAAGGTATCTGTGAATTCCTCAAGCGGATTGGTAGAAAGGCTTAAAGCCTAAGTGTAACTAAAATTAAAAACAGAAAGATCAGCACAAGGGACATAACTTACAGTCAGTAGAATGTGTCCCTTGTGCTGATGCCTCTTCTTCCAGTAGAAATCCTCTTTTGTCCATGCCCCCCCCCCGCCATAATCTTCTGGTGCAGCAGGGGTTAACACAGCTAAGAGGCTTTCACAGGCACTCATCAGGACAGCCTGGATAGGCCCACCCTTTCTGCTCAGCTCCTCCATTCATAGGACTAGTACTACAACTTCTATGAATGAAACAAAATCTATGAATGGAGCATGGGTGGGTGATTGATAGGTGAAAATGAACATGAACATGATGAACAAAACAGAAAAGGACAGACTACACAATGTACACCTCATCACAGAAAAGAGGAGATCTCGGCAAATGACTCCATACTTTAAAGTATATAAAGGGAACTCCACAGTGCCTGTAAGCAACGTTTTCAAGTAGGGACTACTAAACTGTCACACAGTTCTCTTCAGTGCTGGCCAGGCCTTGGTCCCTATAGGGTTGAATAGGCCATATACTGTATCAAGACTGGAAATCCTTGGCATGTGGCCCCACCCACATGGAAGAAAAATATATTTGAGATGTATTTTAAAAATATTCCTCCCAAATATATTGCTATATATTTGAAACACTACAATTTTGGCCATATACAATATATTTCAAAATATATGTCAATATATATATATATATATATATATATATATATATATATATATATATATATACTGCATGTTGAAATGCGTTTTTATTACAAAATATATGAAAAATATTTTTAAAAATACATTTCAAATATACTGTATGTCTTTAAAAATACAAATCTACATTTTTGGAATGCATTTACAAATATATGTAAACATATATGTTAAAATTATTTTTAAAAATATATATTTTTTTAAATATATTCTTCCGATTTTTTTAACATATAAAAAAGTAATTTTTACATATATTTTTACAAAAATTTGTAAATGCATTCCAAAAATTTAGATTTGTATTTTTAAAGACATACAGTATATTTGAAAAGTATTTTTATAAATATTATTCATATATATTTTGTAATAAAAACACATTTCAACATGCAGTATGTATATACCGTATTTTTCGCTCCATAAGACGCACCTGACCATAAGACGCGTCTAGGTTTTAGAGGAGAAAAACAAGAAAAAAAATATTCTGAACCAATGGACTGCAGACATAGTACAGGAGATGACCAGACACTGCGGACATACTACAGGAGATGACCAGACACTGCGGACATACTACAGGAGATGACCAGAGACTGCGGACATAGTACAGGAAATGACCAGAGACTGCGGACAGTACAAGAGATGACCAAAGACTGCAGACACAGTACAGGAGAAGGACCAGAGACTGCGGACACAGTACAGGAGATGGACCAGAGACTGCGGACACAGTACAGGAGATGATCAGAGACTGCGGACACAGTACAGGAGATGACCAGAGACTGCGGACACAGTACAGGGATGACCAGAGACTTCGGACACAGTACAGGAGATGACCAGAGACTGCGGACAGTACAGGAGATGACCAGAGACTGCGGACAGTACAGGAGATGACCAGAGACTGCGGACACAGTACAGGAGATGACCAGAGACTGTGGACAGTACAGGGGATGACCAGAGACTGCGGACAGTACAGGAGATGACCAGAGACTGCGGACAGTACAGATGACCAGGGACTGCGGACACAGTACAGGGGATGACCAGAGACTGCAGACATAGTACAGGAGATGACCAGAGACTGCGGACAGTACAGGAGATGACCAGAGACTGCGGACACAGTACAGGAGATGACCAGAGACTGTGGACAGTACAGGGGATGACCAGAGACTGCGGACAGTACAGGAGATGACCAGAGACTGCGGACAGTACAGATGACCAGGGACTGCGGACACAGTACAGGGGATGACCAGAGACTGCAGACACAGTACAGGATATGACCAGAGACTGCGGATAGTACAGGAGATGACCAGAGACTGTGGACAGTACAGATGACCAGACTGCGGACACAGTACAGGGGACCAGAGACTGCAGACACAGTACAGGATATGACCAGAGACTGCGGATAGACAGTACAGGAGACAGTGATGACCAGAGACTGCAGACAGTACAGGAGATGACCAGAGACTGCAGACAGTACAGGAGATACAGGAGATGACCAGAGACTGCGGACTGCAGTACAGATGACCAGAGACTGCAGACAGTACAGATGACCAGAGACTGCAGACAGTACAGGAGATGACCAGAGACTGCAGACAGTACAGGGGATGACCAGAGACTGCAGACAGTACAGGGGATGACCAGAGACTGCAGACAGTACAGGGGATGACCAGAGACTGCAGACAGTACAGGAGATGGCCAAAGACTGCAGACGGTACAGGGGATGACCAGAGACTGCAGACAGTACAGGAGATGACCAGAGACTGCAGACAGTACAGGGGATGACCAGAGACTGCAGACAGTACAGGGGATGACCAGAGACTGCAGACAGTACAGGAGATGACCAGAGACTGCAGACAGTACAGGGGATGACCAGAGACTGCAGACAGTACAGGGGTTGACCAGAGACTGCAGACAGTACAGGGGATGACCAGAGACTGCAGACAGTACAGGGGATGCCCAGACACTGCGGACCTTTAGGGAGGGAGTGGGAGTGGGTACCTGAATTTGACACTTCCACGGAGCTCTCCTTCCTATACTGTGTGCATGCGTGAGAAGCGCTGCGCTTTGCGAATGGCCTCGTCGTCCTGGGACCTGTCATGTGTCCCAGAACACACCGGACCATTCACAAAGCGCAGCGCTTCTTGTGCATGCGCAGTTGGCACCCTCTGCCAAAATTGTAGCATTTCAAATATGTGGCAATATATTTGGGAAGAATATTTTTCAAATATATTTCAAATATATTTTTCTTCCATATGGGCATTCAAGTCTATGAAAAGATAATTTAATTGGACAGATGGGGGCAGTAAGCAGTTGGAGTTGGGGTTATTATTATTATTATACAGGATTTATATAGCGCCAACAGTTTGCTCAGCACTTTACAATTTAACGGGAGACAATACAGCAACAATACAGTTCAATACAAGAGGAATTTGAGGGCCCTGCTCCTTGGAGCTTACAATCTAGGAGGTAGGGGCTAGTGGTACAAAAGGTAGTAACTGTGGGGGATGGACTGGTTGGAAGAGTAGAAGATTCCAGTATTAGCTGAGGGCAGGATAGGCTTCCCTGAAGAGATAGGTTTTCAGAGATCGCCTAAAAGTGAGCAGATAGTCTGATAAATTGGGGTAGAGAGTTCCAGAGGATGGGGGAAGCTCTGGAGAAGTCCTGGAGATGAGCATGAGAGGAGGAGACAAGGGAGCTAGAGAGTAGGAGGTCTTGCGAGGAGCGGAGAGTACGGTTTGGGTGATATTTAGAGATAAGATCGGTGATGTAATTTGGGGCAGAGTTATAAATGGCTTTATACGTTATTGTTAGTGTTTTGAATTTTATCCGTTGGGCAATGGGAAGCCAGTGGAGGGATTGGCAGAGAGGCAGAACAGTTAGTAAGGTGGATGATTCTGGCAGCAGCATTCATGATAAACTGAAGAGGGGATAGCCTGCGATGAGGTAGGCCAATGAGGAGGGAGTTGCAATAGTCAAGGGGAGATATAACAAGGGAGTGATGAATAAGTTGCTTAGTGGTTTCTAAGGTTAGGGACGGGCGTATCTTGGAGATGTTATGGAGGTGAAGTCTACAAGGTTTGGACAGTGATTGGATTTGGGGCTGAAAGGACAGATGGGAGTCTAGGATTACACCTAGTACCCTGACATGATCGGAGGGACTGATGATTGTATTATTGATCTTGATGGAGAAGTCAGGGGAGGGGGCGCAGGCTGGGGGGAATACTAAGAGCTCAGTTTTTGGAAAGATTGAGTTTGAGGAAGTGGAATGACATCCATGCCGATATGTCGCTTAGTACTTTAGTAATGTGAGAGGAGAGGTGAGGAGTAGAAAGATAGATTTGTGTGTCATCAGCATAGAGATGGTATTTAAAGCCATGGGAGTTTATCAAGTGACCAAGGGAGGAGGTGTAGATGGAGAAGAGAAGGGGTCCAAGGACAGAACCTTGAGGGACCCCTACAGAAAGAGGAGTGAAGAGGAGGAGGCAGCATTATAGTTAACACTGAAGGAGCGCTGTGATAGGTAGGAGGAGAACCAGGAGAGAGCAGAGTTTCTGAGGCCAAGAGAGTGGAGTTTTTTGAGGAGGAGGGGATGGTCAACCGTATCAAAAGCCGCAGAGAGGTCAAGTAGTAAGAGTATGGAGTAGTGGCCATTGGTTTTAGCAGTTAGTAGATCATTATTGAGTTTTAGTAGGGCAGTTTCAGTGGAGTGTAGTGAGCAAAAGCCAGACTGTAAAGGGTCAAGAAGGTTGTTGTCAGTGCTGTAGGAGCTCAGGCAATTGTAGACTATGGTGTCCGTTTATGACACACAGAATAGCTGAGATTCAGAGGATCACAGCTATTCTCTGGTCATTCACAGTTTATGACACCCAGGAGAATATGTTCAGCCCTTCTCTGGAGATCTGTGTTCTCCCTCCAGATTCTCCAGCCCAGAGCTGGAGAATCGGAGGGACCGCAAACTAAGCAGAGATAATTTACCTCTGTTTAGTAAACTGATCTTTTACTGTAATCTCACGAGATTATAGTAAAATCAGCCGTTTTCCAGCGTTTGTAGACCGTTCTCCCTTCGTTTGGAGAACTGATCTACATATGCTTCATAAACGGCATTCACAGGAGAACTGTGTTCTCCGAGAATGCCGGAGAACTGAGCAGCGATCTATTACTGCTGGTACATAAACGGACACCTAAGCGTTCTAGGAGTTTAGAGGTAAATGGCAGCAGGGAGATGGGTCTTAAGGGTTGGGGATTTGTGCAGATTACCTTGAAAAAGAGTGAAGGGGTAGGCTACTGATGGTTTAAGTAATGGTACAGCTCTCCTTTTAATAAAGAAAAAACTATAAATAATAAAGAATGGGAAACATTTTTCCTTTTTACCCCAAAATAAATTAGCATCTCTAATATGCTTAGTGATAATATTATCCCAAATCTTAGTCGTTTGCCTAAGCCATAAATACAGCCTCAGCTGATACTTGTTCTAGTTCTTTTCCTAGTTCCTGCATTAGTTCTTTCCCCAGCCTAATCCTCCTCCTAGCCCTCACCCTCATCATTCGGAATAGTAAAGGTTTGGCCAGCCACTGCTCTTAGTAAGATTTCTTACTTGTTTAGCTACATTTTACAATGTTCTTAACAATGGCCATTTGCTAAGAATGAAAAGTAGGTAAAAGAGTTAAAGATGTCTATAGAAAATGTGTTTCACAAAACAGGCCCCTTTGCTTTTTCCCAAAGTGTAAGGGCCTATTCACATCGATGTTTTTTTTTTTTTTGGTGCGTTGTATTTTAGGGATCTCTTACATGTATCTTAGGCGTGTTACCATTAAACCCATAGAACGTGTTTTGGTGAAAGCACATCAAAAACGCAGCATGCAGGACTTTTTTCAATGCACCCCACCTAAAATACACATAAAAAGTTCCTTTTCTGTCTTTTGCTGACAATTAAGATCATGTTATTCATTTTCAAGGGCCACGGAGAAATTTGCAGATTCAAATTCATGTGTCGTCGTTCGTTCTTTCTTTGGATGGCATAAACAGCACTGTAGAGGAAAAAGGGGTAAGCAGTTGAAATGAAATCTCTTAGATTGTACTTTGTAAGGTCATAAATAGCTGTAGTGATCAAGGGTGTAACTATGTGTGATGTGGCCCCATATCAAAACTATTAACCACTTCTTGTCCCTTAGCCTGTTTATAAATGGCCTAAGGTTGAATTGGTTCTATTGGGAAAATGGTTGAGACTATATCATGAACCTGGTATTGTTGTTTTCAGCTTGGGATTCCCTACACGGTAACAATGGTCCAATAGCCGCTGGATCACTTTCACAGTTGGCGGAAGGTGGTCCCCCTACCTTCCTTTGCTGCCGCCACCCTCTTTATCTATATCTAATCGGGGAGCCTGGTAAGGATGCGACAGGCAGCATCGGCTTCAGGGCACACAGTGCCTAGTACTGACATTTGAAAGCATCCTATAGATGCATATCTTAGCAATCACTGGATGTGGTGGCTGCATTTGTTTTCTATTTTTCAATCTTTTATTTCCTTATTTTTATCTGGTGATCAGCCAGTAACACACCTCCTGTTTTAGAGAGGCTTCATCCACTCCTCCACTGTATCTATGGAGGAGCAAAGTAGCCATCCTTGGAAAGCAGCATTGTCAATCAGTGGAGAGGGTAGTGTTAGATGAACTAGTAGATGTAGATGGATTTTACAACTGACTAACAATGTAAAGCCCAACTGCAGCTAACATCTTTTAAAGTGGAACTAAACCTAACATTTTAAAATCTGCGAGTAGGTAGCTCTTTATTGCAGAAGAGATACAGTATCTCACAGAAGTGAGTACACCCCTCACATTTTTGTAAATATTGTATTCTATCTTTCATGTGACAACACTGAAGAAATGACACTTTGCTACAATGTAAAGTAGTGAGTGTACAGCTTGTATAACAGTGTAAATTTGCTGTCCCTTCAAAATAACTCAACACACTTTTGTTGCCAGCAGTTTAGACATTAATGGTTGTGTGTTTCTTCAGTGTTGTCACATGAAAAGATATAATAAAATATTTACAAAAATGTGAGAGATGTACTCACTTCTGTGAGATACTGTATGTGCATGAGCTGCACATGACTAAATGATTGATTCCCATGCCCATTCATGGGATGATGTCATCGCCAGTTGGCCAATTAAGAGACTGAAAATCAGGCACGCAGAAGTAGAATATAACAGTAGAATATAACAGCGACTGCCAAGAGATGTAATGTTACATTGCTGGAATTCAGAGGTGAGTATTTGTAGTGTTTAGTACAGCTTTAAACAGTTATAGTAACCTTTTTGGTTTGCAATAGCCACTGATAGAGTTTGAAATTGTCATTTTATATTAGCAAGGTTTAGAGAACAATTATTTATCTAAGCTTTGCTCACTGATTTCTGTAAACCTCTGGCCTGTAAATCCTGCTCTGTACTCTAATCTTTAATCTA